TATATATATATGAAGAGTTCAGATGCAAAAGCCTCTAAATGCCATTTGAAATTTTCTTCTTTAATGATGATTTTTAACAAACTTGTATATTTAAGTTCAGTAATTTCACTTAAATAACAATTAATAGGTAATTATCATTGCCATTTAAGTGAAATCACTGAACTTAAATATACAAGCTTGATGAAAATGATCATTCTAGAAGAAAATTTCAAATGGCACTTAGAGGCTTTTGCATCTGAACTCTTCAATATATATAAATAAATACACACACACATACATGTGACAAAAAAATATTATTTATATATAAAATATCTATATTTATATAGAATATAAATTATATATAAATCTAGCATATACATGAAAATATTTCTTAAATATATACAAGCGTGTGTGTGTATATATATATATATATATATATATATATACACTCTAAAAAATGCTGGGTTGTTTTAACCCAATTTTGGGTAAAATATGGACAAACCCAGCCATTGGGTTACATTTTTAAATTACATTTTTAACCCAATGGCTGGGTTTGTCCATATTTTTTATTCATATTTATATATATAATTATACACAGTACATCCACATATATTATGTAAACACAAACTTTCATTTTGGATGTGATTAATCGTTTGACAACCCTAAATATTATATTTAATAAATAATAACAATGGTGTCTGATTATATGAATGAACAGCTAACATACACACACACACACACACTGTTATGGATTGCACCTGATCTAATTTTTGTTTATCCATCTCATATTTCATCTCAGCCTTCATTCTCTTGATTTCAGGGCAGTTAATCCTTCAGAGTCAATGTTGTTGCTCAAACCGCTGGGTTAAAACAACAGTTCCCCAAAATATACAGACGTTCTCTGTAGAATAGCATGTTTGCTAAGGCACCTGGCAGCCGCACAGCTCTTGCAAAACTTGACGATAATGCAACCCAACATTCCAGCATCAGGAAACACACACACACACACACACACACAAAAACTGCTCCTCACAAGACAAGAAATTTTCCTTTTTTTTCAGCATATGTGTGTATGTTTATTTGCCAGGAGCCCTAAGGTCAATGATGTTGTAGCAAATTAGAGGTGAGTGACAGCTGGCTAGCATGGCTGACAGATTTGAGGAATTCGGGCAGTCTGTGAGGACGGCCCTGCCTGAATGTTAAACACTTTTTCCACAAAGCTCAAAGGAACAGTTCTACCTATTAGCAATTCAAACGCACACGCATTCTTTTTCCTCTTGCTACTTACAGAAATGGTTCGTTCTGGATTCAGAGTTGTTTTAGGCAGCGCTAAAATCACTTTTGCAGGCAGATTGGATTAATTAGGTGTTGAAAGTACCAAATGCGACGATAATATTCTCCAAAACACCCATGAAAATGAAAGTGCGTCTACATGCGTATGTGTCTATGTGGTTACAATAGGCCTGTGGTCGGCAGACTAAAGCGAATCCATCTCCACTATGCAGAAAGGAGGTAGAGAATGTCCATTTACGTACGTGCAGTTCAGTGGCTGCGGTCATGTGCTTTTGCCAGCGCACAGAGAGAGGAGACCTGTGGTTTTAACCCAGCCGAATCACACCAGAGGAGGGGAAAAGAGAGGGAAGGAGGGAAGGGGAGAGGAGTGATGACAGCTCATGATGTTATACATCGCAAATGCGAGCCGGAGAAGTGACCGAGTACGGGTTAATAAGCCGTAGAGTGAGGGAAAGAGTCCAGAGATGATAATGCCGCGTATGTAAGGACATGGAGAAGCTAAAAACAGGCTTGTGAAAGCAGCGAAAACACGCGAGGTATTTGGAAAGGCGTTTTAGGGGAGCAATCACCAGCATGATGACATCCATCACAGCTGAGTTTCAAAAGAAAAAGAAAAACGATTTGGCGTCGGGCGCAAGCCAAACAGCGTGTTTCTGTTACCTACAGTGACCTTCTTTCCTTCTGACATTCCACAATCCTCCTTTCCCTCCATTATTCAGCTCCTCGCTTCCTTTTTCCATCGCTCTGTCCCTTTCTTTTCACACTTCACTCCCTTTTACACCTTCTTCTCCCTTCGGTTTTGCCGCCGCTTCCCCTTCCTCCCCGGCCCTGCTAATCTATTCCAGAAGAAAAGGCTACCATGGAGAACGCATAACAAGTGCTCATACTTCAGCACGGGCCAAGAGAGAAATAACACAGGGAAGGAAAAATGGGAGTGGGGGTACAGACAGGCTGAAAAAGGAGAGAAAGTGTTTATTCAAACTTAAAGCTGACTCCTTTGTTGTGGTAAGGACCTGTCTTATATTAGAAGTCTGAACTCCCTTCAAAGTCTGGAAAGATGGAAGATGAGCCAAAAGGAAGAGAAAGAACGAGACAGAGGGAGACGAACAGAAGAAGGAAAACTCCTATTTTGTCTGAAACTGGTAGAATTGGACATGAGAAATGAGTGGAGGATGAAAAAAAAAAAAGAAGAGTTTGGTACTTCATTCAGAGAATAGACGAACTTGGTTCTGGACTGCGCACACATTCAAACCATTCAGACAGAGCTTTGACTGAGCCTTTGATTTCAAATATTGACATTCATTAGCACTATGGTATCTGATAAATCACATAATCAATCTACATCCACAAAAATTTATTTCCATCCTTTCCTAAATATATATACAAATCTGGGTTGAAAACATTCTATTTTATGAGCTTTCATATTATTTGAATGAAAACCTGGGTGTAAACAGATTATGAATGAGATTGTAGGCTACTAATTCATACAAATTTGCCAAACTTAAAGTAGTTATGAATTGCCATGAGAGTGTGTGGGCTAATTCATAAATGTTAAAATACTTGCTGTTTCAATAGTATATTCCAACACATTCTCATCCCAGTGCATCATATACTGACGCTTCTAACAATGCGTATGCATCCAACGCACATATAACACACTTCTAAATAACACGCTATTTAGTTTTACAACTTTACAGCTACAACAATGCAACGCCATAAACCACAAACCTTAAAACAAAAATGTTTAATTAATTAGCTTTAGTACAAATAATGCACAATATTTAAGAAGAAAACAGCTCAATTGTATGTGCCTCTAAAAAGAACTAAAAAAGGCAGATTTTTTTTCTGATTTAGAACACTGTAACCTTGATTTTTTTTCTTTAAAACAAAAACAGTTGAGTAATTTTGTGTGTGTGTGTGTGTGTGTGTGTCTGTGTGGCAATCAACAAAAAAAATGTTCCTTTAAGAAAACTAAAACAGATTATTCTGAAATTCAAAGAACTCAAGAGAAAGTGCATTTGATACCTTTCACATGAAGATCTCTGGACTTCATCTAAAAATTCAATCTGGGTGGAGGGCCTGAAGTCCAGACACTGAAAGACAAAGAGCAGAGAAATGCTGGAACGAAAGGTTATACAATCACAAGTTCACAACGGTGAGTGTGATCCAGTCAACCAGGCTTCCTAATTGAGTCTAATATGGCTGTTCACACACCCGGGTGTGTATACGTTGAATATCAGGTCATTATGACCTGCTAATTCCTCAGCAGGACCAAAAAAAAAAAAAAATCAAACCATTTCACTAATCAAAAATGTTTGTTGTCTCTGGAAATTATTCGATTTTTAAAGTGAGAGGAAATGAGTTATTGTATTTTGGAAATGTGACACGGCTCATTTAGGATGTTCAAAAACCGGCAAGCGGCCCATGACCTGTCTAGTTACTCGCTAATTTACACCATCTCCTTCACTTGCAAACATCTATTGCTCCTCACGGATGGGGCACAGGGGTGCTGGGGCGAGAAAAGGGGGGTTGAGGAGCATGCAGCGCTGGCGCTTGTTGGCTGACCCTGGTGTCTGCGGTTCTGTCGTGGTCAGAGGAGGGGGGGTGGCGGGCTGTGTTTCTGAAATCCCTGTGAAATGTTAATTTTGGAACGACTTGTTGCTTACATACCTCTCTCACACCCTCTCTTCTATTTTGAAGTGTTCAAATATGGCCTAATATTGCTCAGTACTCCTTTCAGGCTGTACAGAAATCACATTTGTGAAGGATGCACCAAGTAAGTGTTTGTTTAGGTTTAGCTGGTTCTAATTTGCCCCAACATTACCAGTGTTTATGGAATTTATACTGACACCTGTTGGTGTGGATGCATGAGGTTTCTTTGCTGACGCCTGTTGTTCGTAAACAAACTTGTGTTTTTTGTCGTTTCGTTCCTGCCTCCTCATTTGTTTTTTTCAATCTTACACAACACGTGTCCATAGAGTGGACATTAGAATTAATCACAACATATTTTCATGACTGTATTTATTTGCGGGCTGTAGTCTAGTTGGTTTGTGCAGCATGACATGGCAATGTGATGTCAACATGGCAGCGACCATGAGGGGGCGCCCCGCTCCATGTTGAATAAAACTGTTTTTTTCCCCCACATGACTGACAGGACGGGGGTCTCGCACATGGTAGTTCTCAAAACAAATTTAATTTCGTTTAATTAGCAAAAAAAAAAAAAAAAATGACTGAATGCCCCTTTAAACAGGACCTCAATACTTTCAGAAACCATTTACGATTCATTTTAAAAGGTCATTCGGTTTGTAAGCAGTTTTAAAGTGCTAAAAGTTTTCATGTAGGTTATTACTGGACGGTCGAACCGCTTCTCTTGCATCGCCCCACCTTGGTGATGATAAGTGAACTAGAAACATCGTCCCATCACCATCCCTGCCCCTGCGCGCCGCGCACCCCGCCCATCTCCGTTCCACTTCAGCTGCGCTTCCTTCTCATTCAGCAAACGCACTGTCCTGTGGCGAGAGAGGGGTCCTTTCCACCCCACAGCCAAACAAAAGAAGCCTGGAAAAGGAGAAAATCTAGCAAAGACTTCTTAAAGGGCAGGAGGACCCCTGAATTCTGCGTTTTTGTGTGAAGACAGCGTTCTTAAGGATACTGCAAGAAGGAACACTGGGAAGCTTTTTAATATCCATCTATTGTCAGTGTGTCATGTGGAGTGTGGGGTCACACAGGAGGATGACCTGTTTTTCACCTGTCGTTCTCCAGTATCCATCTGAACAGGTTTGCTCGCGAGAAGGCTCTCTCTGAACAATCCTCCAACGCGCGCTCAGATGCTCACCTGGGTCTGTGTCCGGTTTTGGCTCCAGTTTTTAAAACCATCGCCTCAAAGATCTCACTGTCCGGGGCGCTGGAGCGATGCAGTCCATCCTGTCCGCTGCTGTCCTGCTGTAAGTTTCACGTGTAAGATCATTCAGTATGAGTTGAAGGCTTTTTTTTCTGGTTAGTCTCCATCTACTGATGTAGGTCCAGACTGAGCATTTGTTGTGTTTCTCATCTCTGGCTCTGACGACATAGACTCAGCAGATGCTGTGTTCCCATAATAACACATCCCACCTTGTCAGATAGCAGCACTGATGATGATGATGATGATGATGATGATGATGATGAGATTCTCTATGTCTGAATCCTGCTTGCCCTGTTCAATAAAAGTCATGTGTCAGTCAATTACATATAAGGATGTCTTAAATTTATAATTAACAATAATTAGACAATTTATATAAAATGGAGAATTAATTATTGTCTAATTTGCTACAAAATACTAACGTTTCACATATATTATTTTTAAAGTAAAAAAAAAAACAGTTTATGAAAATCACAAATATTGGTTACTCCATTTAATTTGACCCAAATGTCTTACAATGTCAAAATTGATTGTTTTAAAATGTAAAACAAATGGTAATTGTGGCACTGTATAAAGGTGTCCCTTCTGTTTTATGTTTTTCTTGACACATTGCAACAAAATGGCTTCCTGCTTGTTGGTTACACAACAATAACTTTAATTAAGTGGCCAGATTTTTCTTTTCAACATTTTAATGACAATTTAAGATAACAATTACTTTACTGCTTTATATATATATATATATATATATATATATATATATATATATATATATATATATATATATATATTTCAAGCCATTTCATATTTAATTAGCTTTTATTTATTTTGTAATGCTAATACACTGTAAAAAATGATTTATTTGATTATGTATCACAACTTAAAATTCAACATTAGAATAAGAAATAATGTGTTGCTTCAACTTTAAAAAGTTTATGCTTGATTTAAAATATTAAGTTTAATAAGCTTTATATAATTGCATAAAGTTTTTATAATTGCAGATTTTTTATTAAAGTTGTTATAATTGCAGATTTTTAGTAATAGATCCACACAAAAGCATCCTATTTACCCATATATTAAAATCATAATGCTTTGTTGAATAAGAAGTGTTCATAAATTGGTTGGATCAGGGTTCATTGATCAGGGTTGTGTGTTTGTGTTTGATCATTAATAGATTAAAACTTGCGAAGGAGAGTTCGTTTTATGATTTTTTTTTATGTCAAAACAAAAAGCCCTTAACTCCATTCAGCTAAAATACGGATTTAAAATAATTAGAGGAAGATAAAAATATATAAATGTTGGTTAATAATAAAGATTGGAAGCAATTATATTATGGCATAAAATTTAAAGGCCTGTGATACATTATGATGCCTGGCTGACATTTAAGAAAAGAGAGGGAGTGAGCTTGGTTGGCATGTGTACAAAGTATTATTAACAATTCATAGCAGACCTGAACATTGATCTTTAAATACAGGCAGACACTCACATGTGGTGTTAGTTTGGGTTCAAATAAACATTTTCATTTTTTTCTTGTTGCCTCCCTCTTAAAACTGTAGTTTTTTTAACACTGTGCTAACCAACCCCTACAATGAATAGTCATACATAAAAAAAAAAAAAAAAAAAAAAATGGGGAACTATTTTGTTATACTAAATTTATGGATTATTTTTTTTACCTCACGACTTAAGCTTTCATTTACATCTAGTAGAGTTGTGTTATAGAGCTATCTAGTGGTTTGATTCACCAGAAATATTTAAAAAAAAAATTGAAAAGTGTGCTAACCAACCTTATTCTCCCCTAAATAGATTAGAAAAGCAACTCAAATGAATGCAAATGTCACACAATCACATGTGTCTTTTCTATTTCTCTTTGCCCAGATGCTTCCAGGTCATGTTACTGTTCTACAGCCCATTACAGGTGCTTATAGTCTGCAATGTGTTACCGATAATAAAACCATATGTCAATTGAAAGTTAATAAATCAATAAAAGTGATTTGTGGCGACTCTTGTGTTTGTGCAGGTGTTAGCAGTTGAAAATGTTAACTTTGGAGTTCACGTAGAGAATCAGACTGGGGTGCGGGATGGCCTGAGCCGGAAGCACCATCGGGTTTACCAACTTTACAGCCGGACCAGCGGGAAACACATCCAGGTGCTCGGCAAGAAAATCACTGCCATGGGAGAGGATGGGGACAAATATGGTAAGAAACAATCTGAATGTGTCGTCATTCACTTGTACAATAGGATGACATTAGATTAACACTCTGAATAACTTACTGATTAAAAAAAAAATAAATAAATAAATAAATAAGCACTTGTGTGTGAAGCATATAATTATAATGTACATCATTAAAAATATTTAATATTCTGAATTTATATAAAATGTTTCAGATTGGTAAGATTTTTTTATACTTTAAATAAAGTCTTCTGCTCATCAAGGCTGCATTTATTTGATCCAAAATACAGCAAAAGCAGTATTATTGTGAAATATTTTCTACAATTTAAAGTTACTGTTTTCTATGTGAATATATTTTAAGAATATATTTTATTCCGAAGATCAAAGCTTAATTTTTAGCATCATTACTCTGGTCTTCAGTGTCACATGATTCTTCAAAATTCATTTTGTAATGTAATTTTCTGCTCAATAAATATTTATTATCAATGTCGAACACAGTTGTGCTGCTTAATATCGTTTTAGAAAACTGATGGATTCTTTGAAAAAGTCCATTATCAATGTTGAAAAGAGTTCAAAAGAACAGCATTTATCTGAAATGGAAAGATTAGTAACATTATACACTACCATTCACAAGTTTGGATTTTTTTTTTTTTTTTTTAAATGAAATTCATACTCTTATTCAGCAAGAATGCATTAAATTGAATTAAAGTGACAGTAAAGACATTTATATGTTAAAAAATATATATATTTAAAATAAATTCTGTTCTTTTGAACTATTCATCAACTGTTTTCAACATTGATAATAATAAGACATTTTTGAGCAGCAAATCCATATATTAGAATTAGAAGACTGGAGTAATGCTGCTGAAAATTCAGCTTTGCATCACAGGAATAAATTACATTTAAAATATTCAAATAGAAAACAACTATTTTAAATTGAAAAAAGTATTTCACAATATTATTTTTGGTGTATTCTTTGGAACAAATAAATGCAGCCTTTCAGCAGGGTCAGCAGGAGAGACTTAAAAACATTGTAAAAAAAAAATCATAATTTAATATGCATGAATAAATCTATATATTATATATATATATATATATATATATATATATATATATATATATAGTAAATGTTATACCATTATATCCACAACCATTAACATAGCTTTGTACTACAGCCTTAAATAAATAAATATATATTAATCATATATATACACACACACACACACACACGTATATATATATATATATATATATAATATACTGTATATGTGTGTGTGTGTGTATATATATATATAATATACTGTATGTGTGTGTATAATTTACCTCCTGTTTATATTCCTGTCCGTCTGTGTTTTTGTGTTTCTTCACAAGCCCAGCTCGTGGTGGAGGCCGACACCTTTGGGAGTCAAGTGAGAATACGAGGGAGAGAGACCAACTACTACTTGTGCATGAACCGTAAAGGGAAGCTTGTGGGGAAGGTAAGTCACTGAACAATTACTGTCCTTAATATAGTATCACCAACATCTTTTACATCATTCCCATTCTGAAAAGGGTTCAGACTGAATGATTTGAATCCATAACCAGAAGCAACTTATCAATGTGAAAGCCCTACAAAATTACACAACTGTTGAAAAAGCTGGCAAAAAAACACAATGAATCCAGTGAGCTGTGTTCCGTTTCAGAAAGACAGCAGCGTAAACGGAGGCTGCGCTTTCATCGAGATAATGCTTGAGAATAACTACACTGCTTGGATGTCGGCGCACTACGTGGGCTGGTACGTGGGCTTCACCAAAAAGGGCCGACCGCGCAGGGGCCCGAACACGTTACCCAACCAGCGAGACGTGCATTTCATGAAACGCTTCCCTCCAGGAGAGCAGCCCGACCTGCAGCCCTGCAGCTTTACAACAGTCAGCAAGAGAAGCAAACGAGTCCAGCAGACCTCCACCGCTCCTCCACCACTCCCATAACACAACAAACACTTGTGCGCAAAGATCCCTTCCTACAGAGGATCTAGAGACGCTCTTCTTTGAAACGCAAATAGGTTAGACTTTAGGACCGACCTCTTTGCAGTCACAGTCAAAGGACGGGGTTGCTTAAACACTGTGTAATCATGCAAACATAACCAAAGACTCCTGGGCAAGTGTCCAGTCACTAAACCCTGTCAATAAGGGGACCAAGCACTTCAGAGGCCAAAGAATTCCCCTCTAATGTCCAGTGCTAGATTTGTCCCACCATGAAAGAGCAAAGCACTCAATGGCTGACAAGTGCACGTCATGATACGCATCAGCTGAGACTTGCCCGACTTGGATGCTCATGACCAAAAGGACAGTTAAAGGACCTGCTGTGTACTCATCGAAATGTTAGCCTTGGGCCTGTAAGAGTAACCAAGAACCAAAGTCTATCACAGTCAGGAAAAAACTTCTTTGGTTTTGCCTCAGATACTTTACCGTGAGCATCGAGGGTTGTTCATATTCATCAGCCTTGAAAGAACCAGCAACCAATGAAATAAAGTGTCATTTAAAGAAAGCGAAATACACTACAATTCAAAAGTTTAGGGTCAAGTTTGAGGGGCCATTTACACTACGTCGTTCATTTACACGGTAATTCTGGCGGCCTGAAAACTATACCATTATCGTCTCTGTGTAAACTACAAAGAAGCGAATTTGTAAAAACTGACGTCATGCGCATCTGTATTACGTGTTTAGTCTAAAGACATTATAGGTATGAAAGCCAGGCTGTGAGGGATAGAACTAACGGATTTTCAATGGCAACCACTATAAAAAGCTCCTAGATCACTTATGATTTTCTACAGCTTATATTGTCTAGGATTTTTTGTCTACTGAAGATTATCTGAGATATTTTTGCAATATTTCATCAGCTGAACAACCCAAAAAACACATTAAAGGGTAACTAAACCCTGGCTGGTCAGAGCCTGACTGAGCGTGGTGAGCTGAAACCTGCGTACGTCACGAAGTGCGGAACATCCAATAGGAAAATTCAACTGCAGTAGCCACCGCTCAACCTGAAGAGGGCAGCACTAAGATGCTTTTACACCATATATTGTAGAAATAGAACACTTTATAAAAAAAAATGTCAAAAAAGTTACTCGAATCAATGACTGGTATTAATAACGATCCATTCTTACAGATCATTAACTAAAAAAAGTTGGTTAAGTGTTTAGTTACTCTTTAAATAACAGTACAGCCCACTGTATGTCTATCCCTCACAGCTTCGCTTTCATTCCCATTAATAGGCACGTAATGTTTCTTTACACATTAACATCGATTTACCAACTAACTGGCCTGGCATGAATACAGCGTTTTCGCGGATCGTTTTGACATTGTCGTCTGTGCACGAAAAACGCAAAATTGCATACAGACCTTGAAAAATACAGTAAAAACTATAATTCTGTTATAATTTAAGATATTACAAAATATTAAAATACTATTACAACTCATTTCTTATTTTAAAATGTAATCCTGTGAAGAAAAGCTGCCTTTACAGCATCATTACTCCAGTATTCAGTGTCACATGATCCTTCAGAAATAATTCTAATATGCAGAGTTACTGCTCGAGAAACATTTCTTAACATCAATGTTAAACACAGCTGTGCTGCTTAATATTTTAAGAAAACTGTGATTTTTTTTTTCCATGATTATTTGATAAAGTTCAAAAGAACAGCTTTTTATTTGCAATAGAAATCTTGGTAACACTTTACAATAAGGTTCATTAGTTAACTACATTAGTTAGCACGAACTAATAATGAACAGCACTTATACAACATTTATTAATCTTTGTAAACGTTAATTTCAATATTTACTAATACTTTATTAAAATCTTGTTAACATTAGTTAATGTGCTGTGAACTAACATGAACAAACAATGAACAGCTTTATTATCATTAACTAACATCAACGAAGATTAACAAATACTGTAACAAATGTATTGCTCATGGTTAGTTCATGTTAGTTAATACATTAACTAATGTTAAATAATGAACCTTATTGTAAAGTGTTACCGAAATCTTTTGTAGCATTAAAAAGGTTTGACACGTTTGATCAATTCAATGCTTAATAGAAGAATGAAAGTGTAATTATATAAATATGTGTGTGACCCTCAAACCTTTGAACTGTAGTGTATTAGCAGCACAGAATGACAAATTAAATATTGACTACTAAAAAGAATATGACATCCATTATCACATATCTTCAAATCAAATGACTAATCGCTGATCTACACTGATGCTCCTGTTTTTTTCAAAACATAACATCCATTACAGGCCGCAACGGGAGTTGATTTTCGCTCTAGATAGTTAAATATATCAGAGTTATTCAAACTGACCTCGGAGCTTCCAGCCCTGCAAGTGTTGTAATGCAAAACGTTGCTGTAACTGTTGCAAATTACTCCGTCCCTAAACCACTTGGGGCTGGTGAAATCTTGAGATATTTTGATACTATTCATGTTATTAAAATATTTATTTTGTGGATGCATTGATCAACGGGTGTAATCTTTCCATGACACATTTAGTACACCTTGTATTTTGGGGTCAAAACTCACTTCATCTCCCAACACTGTTTTATTGCCACCTGGTGGACGCAGAGAGTATAAACTAAAGCCCTGAAACTCGCACTAAATTTGCATAGAAACAGACTGCAAACCATCTCATATTCAAGAGCTAGTTTAACGAGACATAAGAAAGCTGAACTCTGAACAGCAGAACTAAGTAGTCAGAAGTTTCCTCAATAGTGAGCACGAGGACTGTTTTGTCTGTAATCTAGTCGTCTGCTACATTCCTGATCACCCATATTGGGCAGTAGTCATCTCTCTCTCTCTCCCTCTGCAGATTCAGAATGACTTTGATCCTCCCTCTTGATAATGTCTCCATCTGTCTCACGTCCACCCTTGCGTCTCACACTGACAGTGGCCTGCCATCATTCATACTAATGCCTTATTCCAAAGGAATTCCATTCTGCAGTTTGTACAGGACAGAATACAGCGACTCGAGATTTAAGACTAAAATATTGCCCTGCACTCAAACATTTTTAAATCGTTACAGCGCTGAAATGATGTATTGTGGCCGTTGCCATGGTGGCGATCATAAGACGAAAATGACAGTACTGCCAATTTCCACATATTCGGAGCAGGAGGTAAACTTAAATATTTGAACAGCGGCCCGGCGCTTTTGGAAGGTCTTGGCAGCCATCACGGCAGGTTACTGAAATTCAGGCCTGTTGGAAAGCCTTTATCTCGAAGGGGCGAATCATCATGCGTCCGAACACGCACACTAAAAACACGACGCGCTGGTGCAAGCTTCTTAACACTCCTTCACAGTCAAGTACTTTAATCTTATTAATAACGCTTTTTTCTTTAAAAAAATCTTTTCAATATACAACACCATTTTAGACAAGACATTTTCGGTTTACAACTAAATTCAGATCAGTTATGGGTCATTCAGAACCTAGACAAGCAGACAATGAAAAGGGGAACGAGACGGACAGCGCTAAAACGAGAAATGGAAGGACATATCAGAAGAAGTCAAAAACTACAATTATTCATACGATTTCACAAGAAAAAAAAAATATGAAGTCAATTTCCCAACTTAAAAAAAGGAAAAGCATTAAAAAAAAAAAAAAAAAAAAAAATCAGAAACCGAGGAGTTGACCAGCACACATTATACGTCCCATCGCTCGCTCATTCATGCAGAACAGTCCTGAGGGAAGGAAGGCACTCAGACCTTGCCTTCTCCCTTTAGTTTTTCTTTTTTAAATCAAAAACAAAACAAACAAAAGATAGATACAGAGTTCATGGGCCCAGGGGGCGGAGCTGGGGCAGCCGTCACCCTGTACGCAGTGGCGGGGGGTGAGGGGAGGGCTCCACGCCCACCCTCAGGTTCTCTGCTTAATGGCATCGCTCTCTCCACCGTTTCTCCACCTCCTCCTCCGCAGAGAGGGAGAAAGAGAACTGACGCAGTTTGTGTTTTGTGGGGCGGCCCTCAGTATGACCGAAGAGGGGGAGAAATAAAACGGACAGATGGAGAGAGGAGGGTGAAGGGGAGGGGGGGTGGTGGTGGCGTTCCTCGACCTTTGATCCTGGCACACTTCCACGGAGACTGGGTCACCCGAACAGTCCCCACACACACTCGCACACACTCCGCACGCCACCAGAGCTTCCCTGTCAAGAGATCACACGCATGCAAGTTAGTTTTAATTGCCGCGTGTTGAATTTAAACGAATTCGAAACATGCGTTACCTGCTATCTGGATATATAGGTATACGTGCGGGACGGCGATCGCCCTTCCGTCTGCCCGTTGGTTGACACGTTGAGGAAGTCCCAGATAAGGATAGTGTCGTCGTGGGAGCTGCTGATGATCTGGAACTCATCGAATTGGAGCCGGAACACTCGGCCAGAATGTTCCTATACGCAGACAGACTATTATTGAAGCGACATCACTGCTGTGGATCGACGTGATGCAGATCAGACCATATATGGTGCTATAAATGCGGATTAACTATACATGACAGGGCTCCGTGACAGATCAGAGATTGTTAGGAATCAGTAACACCGAGTAGAACGGGTAGGCATAGGGCTGGGTGATATGGCCAATATCATCTCTTTATTTTTGGCTGAATGACAATTTAGGGTTATACATCTCTGCATTTTTTACATTCATCTTCATTTAAAAAAAAAAAATAATTATATATATATATATATATATATATATATATTTAATTTTTTTTCTGATTTTATTACACTAAAAATGATAAGAAAAGCACAGACTAAATTGCTAAGAGGAACACAAATTGACTCATGTGATCTTAATCAAATGTAGACAAATCTAATTACCTCATTACAATAGTCACTTTACAGTTACTGCCATCATAAAAAAAAAAAAAAAAAAAAAACACTTGTAGGTTTAAAATTCTATACATGGCAAATTTAAGTCCAACAATAATTTAGCAAAATGTATATTTTAGTCAGAATCACTGCACTCCTTATCTGTTGCGATTCATCTGTTCAATGAAGTCTGTGGAGTTTAGTTGAGACTCGCTTACATTATGTTCATCCAGTCATGATGTTAGTACAATACAAGTAATTTATAAGTAGTATTTTATAAGTAAAGTCAATGAATTTTTGGACCAAAATGTATTTTTGATGCTTCAAAACATTCTAACTAACCCACCGATGTCACATGGACTAGACTTTGATGTTTTTCTAACCTTTCTGGACAAGGACAGTATATCGTACATGCATTTTAAATTGAGGGACAGACAACATGAGGGTGAGTCATTAATGACAATTTTCATTTTTGGGTGAACTAATCCTTTAAATTACGTTTTCAAATCTATGGAAAGCAAAAAAATAAAATAAAAAAAATAATGATAATTCAGGATTCTCTGATGAAGAGAAAAAACAATGCTGAATACTAATTAAAATATAATATTAATTACTTGCTGACCTCTAATGTTATTTTATTTAGAGAATGAATTGAGCCCATGTATGTTCTGAAGTGTTTTCTGTGTCAGGTGGCGGGGCTATGAGGGGTTGGGAACTTACCACTAGTGTACGTAGACACAGAGTGCTGGCTGGGGCTCGTGGGTCGAGAGCAGCTTGTAGGTCCCATACTTTAATTTTACTGCACACACACATTAAAAGCACATTAGATAATGGACAAAAATATTACCATCATAAACCACAATACATTGGTTAAAATATCCCTCTCTCATTCTTCTCTTGTAAAGCAGCTCCACAGCCGCATTTCACACATAATCTACAGATAATCCGTGATTCAATTGTGGGCTTTCTAGGATTAAAAGTGACTGCTCCCTCGGCTGTGTGGGTATAGTGTACTGCTCAAGTATCAGATTAATGACTGGAGCACAGAGAGCATACAAATACAATTCCGCAATTAAAGATGTGAGAATAAAGAGATTATTCACATTAAGGCCAGCAATAAA